TAATTTAAATAATTTAAATAATTTAAATAATCCTGGCCGGGGGGGTTCCCGGGGGCCCCGGGCCCCAGGATTTAAATAATTTAAATAATTTAAATCCTGGGGAAGGGCTCCGGATTTAAATTATTTAAATTATTTAATTCCCGGGGCCCTGGACCCCCGGGGACCCCTCCCCTTCAGGATTTAAATTATTTAAATTATTTAAATTATTTAATTCCCGGCCCCATTTAAATAATTTAAATAATTTAAATCCTGGCCGGGGGGGTTCCCGGGGGCCCCGGGCCCCAGGATTTAAATAATTTAAATAATTTAAATCCTGGGGAAGGGCTCCGGATTTAAATTATTTAAATTATTTAATTCCCGGGGCCCTGGACCCCCGGGGACCCCTCCCCTTCAGGATTTAAATTATTTAAATTATTTAAATTATTTAAATTATTTAATTCCCGGCCCCATTTAAATAATTTAAATAATTTAAATAATTTTAAATAATTTAAATAATTTAAATCCTGGCCGGGGGGGTTCCCGGGGGCCCCGGGCCCCAGGATTTAAATAATTTAAATAATTTAAATCCTGGGGAAGGGCTCCGGATTTAAATTATTTAAATTATTTAATTCCCGGGGCCCTGGACCCCCGGGGACCCCTCCCCTTCAGGATTTAAATTATTTAAATTATTTAATTCCCGGCCCCATTTAAATAATTTAAATAATTTAAATCCTGGCCGGGGGGGTTCCCGGGGGCCCCGGGCCCCAGGATTTAAATAATTTAAATAATTTAAATCCTGGGGAAGGGCTCCGGATTTAAATTATTTAAATTATTTAATTCCCGGGGCCCTGGACCCCCGGGGACCCCTCCCCTTCAGGATTTAAATTATTTAAATTATTTAAATTATTTAATTCCCGGCCCCATTTAAATAATTTTAAATAATTTAAATAATTTAAATCCTGGCCGGGGGGGTTCCCGGGGGCCCCGGGCCCCAGGATTTAAATAATTTAAATAATTTAAATCCTGGGGAAGGGCTCCGGATTTAAAATATTTAAATTATTTAATTCCCGGGGCACTGGACCCCCGGGGACCCCTCCCCTTCAGGATTTAAATTATTTAAATTATTTAAATTATTTAAATTATTTAAATTATTTAATTCCCGGCCCCATTTAAATAATTTAAATAATTTAAATAATTTAAATCGTGGCCGGGGGGGTTCCAGGGGGCCCCGGGCCCCAGGATTTAAATAAATAGTTTAAATAATTTAAATCCTGGGGAAGGGCTCCGGATTTAAATTATTTAAATCATTTAATTCCCGGGGCCCTAGACCCCAGGGGACCCCTTCCCTTCAGGATTTAAATTAGTTAAATTATTTAAATTATTTAAATTATTTAATTCCCGGCCCCATTTAAATAATTTAAATAATTTAAATAATTTAAATAATTTAAATAATTTAAATCCTGGCCGGGGACCGACCCTCAGCGCCCACCCATCGTCCCAACCCCCCCCACCCACCCTTCCTCCCACTTCACACTCCCTCCACCTCCTGCCCACCCTACCTCCCAAACCACCCTCTCACCCACCACTTCAAGGGCTAGGGATCCCACACATCTGCGGGCAAAATCTGGCGGAAGTGATCCGCCACCGAGCAAACAGCCTGTAAATAACGCATTAAACAAAGGGCCAGGGATTTCGCACATCTGTTGGCAAAATCTAGCGGAAGTACCGACTGCTCACTTCCGCCAGATTTTGACAACAGATGTGTCAAATCTGGCCCTTTGTTTAATGCGGTATTTACAGGCATTTTGCTCGGTGGTGCATCACTTCCGCCAGATTTTGCCCGCAGATGTGTGGGATCTCTGGCCGTTGTTTTAACGCGGTATTTACAGGCTTTCTGCTCGGTCGCGGCTCGCAGGGATTAGGGGGACACCCCTTGCGATCTGTGGTTTTCGGATCTGAGTTTTCACAAGACCTGAAGGGGACACCCCTTGCGATCTGTGATTTTGGGATCTGAGTTCTTACAAGACCTTAGGTGGACACCCCTTGCGATTTGTGATTTTGATACTTATATTTGTTACAAACACATTTAGGGGGACACCCCTTGCGATTTGTGATTTTGGAACTTATTTGATATAAAAGCCTTCAGGGGGACACCCCTTGCGATCTGTGTTTTGCGGATCTGAGTTTTCACAAAACCTTAGGGGGACACCCCTTACGATCTGTGATTTTGGGATCGGCGTTTTTACAAAACATAAGGGGACATTCCTTGCGATTCGTCATGTTGGGATCTAGCTTGCGCGAAAGCCTTTAGGGAGACATCCCTTGCGATTTGGTATTTCGGGATCTACTTTAGCGCAAAAGCCTTCAGGGGACACCCCTTGCGATTTGTGATTTTGGAACTTATTTGTTATAACAACCTTTAGGGGGACACCACTTGCGATCTGTGCTTTTCGGTTCTGAGTTTTCACAAAACCTTAGGGGGACACCCCTTGCGATCTGTGATTTCGGGATCTGAGTTCTT